TCATCAACCCCGATTCCCTTAACTGGGGGCCGAAGTACGGATACATTTGGACGCCGTCTTGCTTGATTGGTGCGCTGTGGACGTACTTTTATCTTCCTGAGGTGAAGAACAGGACGTTTGAGGAAATCGACGAAATGGTGAGTTCGAGCATCGAACCCAAGGTGTTTCAGAAAAAGGGTGGACATTGCTGACTCTGTGCTGTTGTGTAGTTCGAGGCACGCCTTCCCGCCCGCAAGTTCCGCACATACAAGTGTGTGGGATCTGTGGCGGCTGTGGCCATGGCCGCAAAGGAGGATGGAAGCAGTGGAAGTGAGAAGGATCACGCTGAAGTCAGGCATGAGGAAGTCATTTTCGGCAACGAGAAGGTTGCCACCGAGACTGCTGTTGCAATCGGTTGAATGTGTGTGTGTCCCTTTGGATGGAGCCCTCCTGGACCATCGAGCGTCTCGAAAGAATTGCCGGGAGTTGGACAGGCACACCAGCCACCCAAGACGAGCGTGGGCCTGAATTTCTGGCAATCAGCGAAATATATCTTGTTGCCCTTGGACAGAACACGAGGTCGGCAAGATATTTTTGAATCAACAGCGTTCTGCCACCGTCAAAGAATGTGCAATGGCTCTGGATTGAATCCCAGCCGTGTCCTGTTCAGCCCATTTCTGAATGCTTCCGGAAAGAGTTCTAGCTGTACTCATCCGCCATTCTTGACGATACCCGCCTTATACGGCAGCCATATGGTCGATAGTTAATCCCAGGGTTTGTCCCGGTCTGACTCGCTTGACTAGAGCCCAGACATGTTTCCCGCTCCATATCGCTCGCTCCAGGATTGTTGGGCTTCTTAGGTGTGTACTTCAGCCATCTTCAGACCGTTCCGCGCAGGGGTCACGGGGTAAGTGGTGTTTGTATGTAAGATTCTTGGTGGTAGTTGGAAAATGCGCGGCTGAGTCGTTCAGGTCGCCCAGCCCTCCTCCACCCAGTCGGTGCTCACTCGATCCGGCTACATGGGCCAGGCCGATAAGAAATCCTCCCGAAGCCCGTATTCCAAAGTCGGGTAACCGACAAAGGGCTCCCTAGGCCTAGTGGCCCTTGTTGTGGCCCAACCACATGGCGGCATAGGCGAGAGGAATGTCTAGTATGTAACCCACACCACCAATACCGCCAACACCACCAACTGCTATTGCACGTGGGATTTGCTGGAATGAAGGCAGTTGGGCTACTAAGCTGCCCAAGCTGCCACCATCTCCTGTCGCCATCAGCTTACGGATCTGGGCTGACTCAGGCCGATCCCAAGCGCGCCTGGACTCTGGACTCTGGACTCCCAGTGACAGGTCAGGTCCCAAGTGAGTGAAGTGATAAGTCAACTCTGCCGGCCCCGAGCTGATTGGGAAGCAGAGTCAAGTGCTGAGTATCCCTCAAGCCCTTCACCTTAAAAACCCCCGACGTCAACCTGAGGCCCCCCCTCAAAATGGTTCCCAGGTACTCTGCTTGTGACTCTGCGCATTTTGATTTTGTTCATTCGGTTGAGCCTACGACACGGCGAGCGACACGATATTTGGGCCCTGGAGCGGGATGGGCAAGTCAACAACAGATGCGATGTACGACTATCTCATTGTTGGGGCTGGTAAGTCGCGTCTCCAATCAGCCGCTGCCGATCGCTAACCGTTCTCCAGGCCCTTCGGGGCTGTGCGCCGCAAAGACGATACGCGAATGCGAATCTGAGGCTAGGGTGAAGATTCTGGACTCTAACAAAACCGTGGGTGGTGTATGGTCCAAAGAGAACCTCTATCCTGGCCTGAAGACAAATAATGTCCGCGGCGGCATCGACTTCTCCGACTTTCCCATGCACGATGGCTTTGGCATTCCTGAAGGTCAGCATGTCTCGGGCGAAGCAATGCACGAGTATATCAGAGCCTACGCCGAACACTTCGATGTCTTTCGGTTGATCGATTTCGACTCGACCGTCACGGAAATCTGCAAGCTCGAGGGCGTTCAAGGCTGGAACGTCAAACTAGGCTCGGGAGCAGATCTGCAGACGCGTAAGTTGATCATCGCCACGGGTGTCACAAATGTACCACACAGACCAGCGTTGAGTGGCTCGGAGGAATTTGGGGGCCCGATCATGCACTCGGCGGAACTAGGCATGAAAGGCAGCGCTCTCACTGACGACCCCCACGTCCAGACGATAGCGGTGCTTGGTGGAGGGAAGTCGGCCTACGACACCGTCCATCTGGCTGGCAAGGCTGGCAAGCAAGTGGAATGGATCATCAGGAAGTCGGGCAAGGGCCCTGAATGGATCTTCCCCGCCCACACCATGGGACCGCTGCAGGCGGTGCGAGAAAAACTCCCGGCGAGACGATTCGTGTCCTTTTTCAGTCCGTGCCTGTGGAACGACGGATTCGGCTGGATCAGGAACTTCCTCCATTTCACCAAGCTCGGCAAGATCATTTCGCAGGGCTTCTGGAAAAACCTTCACAAGGCGACTCTGGACGACTGCGGGATGTTGAAGGATGAGAGAACAAAGGTCTTGGAGCCGGAGCAGAGGTCCGTTTTCTTTCCTTTGTTCAAGTCAAAGCGGGTTTTCGCGCCGCTAACTCCTCTTTTCTATATAGCCCCTTTTGGTACGGCACGGCATCCGGAATCTATAGCTACGAAAAGGATATCTACGAGATGCTCAAGACCGGTCAAGTGCGCGTGCATCGCGAAGACGTCCTCCGCCTCTCCAAAGACACCATCAACTTCACCAGCGGATTGCAGGTCACGGCCGACGCCCTCGTCACCGCGACAGGCTTCTCGGCAAAGTCGACCCTCAAATTCATCCCAGACACCATGCACGCTGACCTCGGTATCCCCTCGACCAGCTACACCCAAGCGCAGTATAGCTTCTGGCAGGTCTTGAACGAGAAGGCCGACATGACCATCGCCTCCAAATTTCCCCGCCTGGTCGCCGGGCCATTCAAATCGCCCACCTCGAGCGTGGTGCAGCCGTTCAACCCAGGCATGGCCTCCGAGGTCAACTATACGCCCTTCCGACTATACCGGGCCATCGCGCCGCCGGGCCCGACCAAGGAAGGTGACAACTCGCTCGCGTTTATCAGCATGTTCTCGAACCTGGCCAACACGGCGCGCTGCGAGCTCCAGTGTCTCTGGGCCTACGCGTACCTCAACCACAGACTCGACATCCACCAAGCCACGGTCTTCGACGAGACGGCCCTGATGGCGCAGTACGCAAGACACCGCGCGCCGTACGGCCACGGCAGGTTCTTCCCCGACCTCGTCTTCGACCAGGTGCCGTACATGGACCTGCTGCTCCAGGACCTCGGGCTAAAGTACTGGCGCAAGGGCAACTTCTTTGCCGAGCTATTCAGCCCGTACATGGCCAAGGATTACAAGGGGATCGTGCAGGAATGGCTCCGTCAGAATTCCCACTCGAGCAACGAAGAGTCTTCAATCCAGCCCAAGACAAAAGCCGAGGAGGCCAGGGATCTTGAAAGAGAACCGCTTCTGAACGGCAAGGCGGCGTGACAGGAGCGCATATGGTTCCTTCGCGCTAACCGGCCTCGAATGAATGATTATGATTACATGAATTACCGACTGACTGATCGACGGATCCCACTGACTGGACTGGACTGAACCGCACTGCATTTCACTGCCATGCAATGTACTACTCACCGGATCCCTCGCTTCAGGACCACAGCAGCGCCCCCTACCCTTCTACTCCTCCGGACAATGGGATTGATGGATGGAGGGGATGGATAGAGGCAAAGGTCATGTTCAGTTTCAGCTGGTTGGGTCAAGCGGGCTTTTTATTCATTTTATTCTCCGTTGTGATTTTTCTTCTGTTTTTGTTTTATCTCTGTCCCCATTCTACTCTCCACCCTCCTTCTCCCACCTGGAGTTCCTCATTTCTTACGAGTTAGGTCCGATGCGACAAGTCATGTATCCACGACGCTCTACGGCTCTCTCGACGGCGCATAACGGGGCGGATTGATTAATTAAGTTTTACCACTTTCTTGCGTCGAAAGGATTGGACTTGACCTATTCATTCAAGCGGCTCGGCTCTCTCCTTCCCAACCCTCATCTTGCACTTGCACTCTCGTTCTTCAAAGCTAGACTTGTCATCTTTTTCAGGGGATTTTATTATGGTGGCGAGGCGAGGCGAGATGGCGCGGGATGGGACGGGATGGGATGAGAGGATAAGATGAATGAAAGATGAAAGAAAGGGCCATGACCCACCTACGAGAGGGATGATCGTTCTTGCTTGGTCGTGATCATGATCACAATCGCAATGATCGCTATGAATGATGGCAAGGATGGCAATGATCCTCACCAATTCATGACAATGAACGATGCGGAATAAGCACAAACAATGAAACAATGACAAATGAACAAACGAACGAATGACGCCGCCGACGACATTGAGGGTATACATAGATGGAGAGGTAAATAGATAGATACCAATAAGGACAGAAGTAAGATTTTCCAAATTCGAATTAGAATAGGGTATCAATCATATCTGTATCTGTCTGGCTTCAACGCAACGCTCGCCTAGAGTAATACCATACATAATACAATACAAACATATATCCATCCATCTATGCAAACAGGGAAGAGGGCGAGCCAAGGCTGAGTAAGCGTCGTGACACCCAGGTGACCAGTGACAAAGACAAAGGACAGGACGGGACAGGACAGGAAAGAGCAGGGTAAAGAAGGGATAAAAGAACCGATTCCAACCAAGGGGAGGGCAAAATAATAATGAGTAATCGGCCGGCGTGCTGGGCGCCGTGGGTCTTGATTCTTTGGGGAAACACAAACACAAACTCCACCCAGTGCCCGATGTAGCGAAAAAGAATCAAACACCACCACCATCATCATGGTAAGCAAAACGCTTTCAGGTTGACATGAATGAAAAACGGTGACCTCTTATCATCCTCGTGCGTCACTCTTAATCATACAACCACACCAACAAGCAACTTGTAATCGGTTTGCCTGATGTTTCCTGCCACTCAGGAGCCTTGTCGGCCCTGGTGCCAAGCATATCGCATGTTCTTGTTGTAGTCCCTGCAGCCTGCGGGCATTGCATCAGAGGCAGCCAGGCTCACAGAGGAGTCATCTGCCGGCGAAGGCGAGTATGTGTAGGTGGGCGCAAAGTCGTGGCCTTTGCCGTCCTTTGCATAGCGAAGCTTGAAGTCGCGGCACCCTTGGGGAACTTCGGATGAGTGCGTCGAGGAGGCGCCGCTGGCGATGATGTTGGTGCCGTACGGATACGTCAGGTTGAAGTCGTGGCCCTTGCCGTCCTTCGCGTAGCGGGCACGGATAGCGTCGCGGCAGCTCTTGGGGATGGACGGTTCTGTCGACGAGGAGGATCTGACTGAGGCACTGCTGGAGGACAGACGGGAGAAGATGGATGCGTGTTTGGGAGTAGACATGTTGGTCTGATATGGAGGTTCTGGGATGGGCTTGTATGAGAGAATGAGGAGTGAATCAATGGGTGTTTGAATTTATGTAGAACTTCAATTGAGTCTTCGTCTTCGTCTCTGTCTCTTGTGTTTGTTGTTTGATGTGTATTCTGTAGAGACGAGTTCTTGCTGAGAGGACGAAGGGTCAACTTATACCTCGAAGCCCTGGCCTCTATCCCATACACAGAGTAAGCAGTGCCCCTGGCCGTGACGGCCTCACCGTCTCGGTGCATCAATGATTTCCAATGATCAATTAACACACCGACCAAGCCATGTCATGGTGCCTGTGACATTCGGTGAGCTACACGAGGGGGACAGGTGGCTGTGAGTGCTAGGGCTGAGTCGGAACTGGAAAAACATCCAATCCGGGCAGCCATTAGCAGGAAGCCATCTCACGGTGCCAGCGACTATGATGGAAGGAGCAACCGTGTCGGGACTGAATGGAAGGGAAGATGTCGACTGATTGAAGCGGCAAGTGTCGAAACAGCAAAGCGCGAACTGTGCCTCAGCCAGCCCTGGGGAAAGGCTTGCTGCGCGCAGCCATTGTCCATGGATTCGGGCAGTCAGGTCTGACTGAAAAGATGATATTCGACGCGATGGTGTTACGTCTAGCGCCCGCGGACGAATCAAGATTGCAGCATCATTCTGCAGATTCGGCGCTGATGATAATTGTGGTAACCGTTCAGGGTCGGCTACAGAAGCTTCGGGGGGCTGAGCCCAGCTGGAGTCTCCGAAAAACACGAGACGCCCATTGCATGGGGAAAGTGACTACCGGGTAGCGGCATGGCATAGCAGAACGGCCCAAACAACTTCCCCCCAACGTTAGAAGAACTGAAAGCGAGCCTTCCCCCTTTCGACGAGCTCCCATTCCAGTGGACGTGCACTTGCAGATCTGGCTCGAGGCCATTGGCTGCGCTTGACCCGATTTGGCTGCAATAATGGCCATATGCCCCCGGAGTCTCTGCTTGGCCTTGGTGTGCATCTTCATTCGAAACAGTGCTGGTGGCATCTCAGGCAGCCACTTAAAAGACCCAAGGTCCCTCGTCCCCGAGAAAACAAATGCGGTCCCAATTTATGCTGTTTGACGTGTACTTGTGTACGTGTCGGCGACCAGATTCGTATATCGGGGGTGAACACGTCTCAAGGTCCCGACTAGGCCGTTCACCCACTCCGCAGCATTGGAATCAATATCTAGTGGCTTGCTTGAAGATAGGCACTGTCGTAAAATCGTCGTGGTTCCACAAGATCTCATTAGACGGGCCAAGTTCAGCGCCTTCGTCAGTGCTGGGCAATCCCGCTTTCTCGTTCTCGCTAACCTCGTGTTTTGAAAACCCCTTCCTATCTTTCGGGAGCCAAACTTTCGGAGTTTTCGAGGCCATCGCCGGCAGAAGATATGCATTTTTGAGTTGCTCGTCGTTATAGGAATTTAATTCTTCTGATTCACCCTCAGGGTCCTGAAGCCATGGTCGAAGAGTCTCCTGTGAAGCGAAAATACGCGGCTCGAGCAAACTGGCAAGTGGATCGAGCAAGACCGCCGGAACTTTTCCCGAACCAAGCCGGTAGACCAGTGATCGATCGGCCTGATTGGCACGAGATCCAGTGTCCACCTCGTCGTCTCTGAGAAGAGGTTGCTCCTCGTCCTCATCCGAAAACACATTGACCGGCATATACTTTTCCAGGGGTGAAAGGTATTGATTGACCGTCATGTGGTAAAGAGCGGTGACGACTAGCAACACAGTCATGAGAGTGGAAGGGCCAGCCACCTTCTTGATCCCAAACAGCCCAATCAAACATAGTTCCGCGAGGTAGACACCTGTCATCAAATGCTGCAGGCTCCTGGTATAGCTCTCTCCCCGCGTCTCGGTCTTGACTTGAATCACGTAAAGCAGGTTGTATTTGTAGCTTAGATAGAATAGGAATAAGCCAATCGCCGCGAATCCCAACACCAGCGGTGCAATACAAGAATAGGCGATTGCAATGACCGCTAGATTCGTGAATTTGGGATAGACATTGAACCAGCTGATCCCCTTCATCTGTGCATAAGTGTTGAATTTCTGTCTCGGGGTCTTGTTCATGACATGGTAAAAGAACAAGAATGACAAAAGATCACTGTAATTCAAAATATTCTTCGATGCGGTGCCGAGGCCTTGGACAATGAAGTACGTCAAATAGAAGTTTGAGGCTTTGGGGAGGTTCTTCGCTAGCAGGGTTGGGACGGTTGTTGGTTGGTTTGCGACCTTGGTAGCTAAAGCAGCAGCCCCGGACGAAAACGTCGTGATGAGGAAGACTTGAACCACTTGGAAGGTAAAGTACCATGTTTGAGCCCACTCAACTGCTGATTTGCTTGTTGGTTGACCAGATAGCGTCGCCACATATTGAAAGAGGTATGGTACATAGGACACCACGGAGCTGAGAAGCAGGGGTGGCACCAGTCCTGTGAGCAATCCGAGGATAGGAGCCGGGAGGTTGTTGATGAATCGCAGAAAGTGAAATTTGTGAGCCAGATAATTAATGTTGGAGATTGTACCAATGATACCGACAGGGATGGACCAGAAGATGATTGTTGCAACGGCAAGTGCTATGGCTATGTAGGAATATGTGATTCGGAGTGATGGATCGAGATTGAGGTTTTGCCAGATGACCTCTTTCGGCTGGATTCCGATGTATTTTGGCTGTAATGTAAGGGGTGATGGATGTCGCACTTGCTGGAACGCTTGGTGGGCACTGACTTGGTCCTTGAACTCGACAAATATTGCTCCAGTTCTCTTACCTGGGGAGCTGGAGTCGGCCTGCCGAACCCGGTCCACGTCGGAAACAAGATTGGTAATGTCTTCTCGCAATCGGGAGATGCTGTCAACCTCTTCTCCGACGAGGTACTTTGACCTATGCTTAGGTCGATGCACCCCGCCACCTGGTTTTGGCAGCTGGCTAGAGCTTGCATCATTGTCCTCTGGAGCATCATCTTTGCTGCGGTTGGCGCTTTTCAAAAGTTTTAGTTCCAACCCTTCCAGTTCGTCGATTTTGCCGTCTCTCTTGTGAACAACTTTTTCTAAGTGGGTCACATTAGAAACGACCCAAGACTTCACAGCATGCCCACCAAAGTACCGGCGAAGATTTCTTTCTTGAAGGCCCTCAGGAGGCACATTTAAGTACAATACCACTCGAGAAGAGAGCCGAGTTGCATTTACCGGAATTGTCTGGTAAGCTTGACGAAGGCCCATCACAAAGAGCCTTTCTCTGGTGATGAGAAGTATGATGAACCCTAAGGGCAAGGCATTAGCGTATTCAGACGAGTGGAAGTATATTACCTTACCAAAGAATACCCAGGCTATAACAGCATGCGCATAAAGACGTCTCCCATCAGCGACATTGCTGAACGATATCCTGTCCAGCTGAGTTGCACCACCTCCGCCCGTGGCGTTGATCGGAAAGAGAATTGGCCAAGTTAGGCAGCAGCCCACGACGCAAATGAGGACAGTCAGTCGGAGGAACCGCAAGAAAAGATAGGCCTCCAGTGAGGAATGGCGCAAAACAAACTTGTCGTCGAGAGCGCGGAAGTCATGCCACCAGGAGACGGATGTATGACTAGACGAAGGAGTGCGATCCCTGGGCCTTGTTAGGATCCACTGCTCGGCTGTATATTCGAAGTGCTTACTTGTGATTGATGGTGCGAAAATACGTCCTTGGTGCGTAAATGTTTCGATATCTCCAGCGAACAGACACAAATGCCAGTAAGAAAACGGCAGCCGTTATGGCAGTGGGGATAAGTGCAGCACCGATGGCAGCAAATGAGGTTGAATGTGGATTGCGATGGCCGCCAGAGCCTGGGGTCTTTGGAGCCTGTTAGCTGTGTAGTCTTGCAAACCATGATTGCTTCCTGGAACAAGGAAGTAGCCAGCCCCTTATGTACATCCGACTATTGCTCGAGCTAGAGACATCTCGGGCTTCGATGGGCGTCACTGACCTTGTCCTTAAAGGCGTCCATGTCGACGTTCCAAGTCCTCCCTCCAAGCGAAACAGACAAATCCTACTGAGAATGGCACATCGAAAGTGCACGCCGTTGTGGGCAAGACGCAGCAACCGAACAAGGAGGGGGGTGATGTTGAACGTTGCTTGTTGGTGAAGATGTGAAGAGGCGATGGAGTTGCCAGTCACTCGTAGTCTGAAATTTCGCGTTGCAATCTGACGTCATAGAATCCCTTACCACCATCACCGCCACCAAGACATGATTCATGGTGCTCAAATACGAAGAGTTGGGGCGAGATATCAGGTTCGCCATATACCGCGTACCTTGTGCCATCGTCGCGAAGGGGAAATGGAAACATCAAGTTACGAAGAACGCTTATATTATGTGTAAGAATATTTTGTTCCTTGTTATTCATCTGGCGTGGCTCATGTCCAACTCCACACGCTTGTCAGGACGGCGTACCGTACGTTTGTAAAATGGCCCAGAAGCTGGCCAGGCGCAAGTTATTCCTTACGCCCACTGAAACTCCTCTTCCAGCTGGTCATTCGGCTTGAATTTTCTCCAGATGGCGAGCTCGGAGACCCTAGATCATCGTCCTCCGCTAACGTCAAGCCTTGCATGGTGCTCGGCATCGGGGTTGTCCTGGTAGGAGTGACTGGTTCTCCAGCCGAAAACAGTCGCTCGCTAACTCGCCGGCCGAGTCCGCCACCTTTTGAGTCGGCGTTGAAGGCAGGCTGCTGAGCGACCGGTTCAGACGGGACGTGGTACTCCCGCCGAGGGCCATCGACAGGGGCGATATCCTCAGCCATAGCATCCTCGTAGCTGGGTGGAGCGTCATCGGGAATGTCTGATTGCTCATGGGGACTATAAGAGCCAACTTGAGCCGGGTACGAGTTGATCTCGGACAAAGGTGTTGTTGGCGTCCCCGAGGGCGTCTCTGGTTGTAAAGACATGTCGTTCATTTCGGTCGGCCTTGGTGGGGATAGACGTAACGGAGACGGTTGAGGGCGAGGATTATTGGCCATGGCCTTCAGCAGCTGAGGAGGAGGAGCGATGCCGGAATACACCAAAACAGGCAGACGCAATGGAAGGACCATAAGTTCGGGTCGCACACCACTAGCCATAGCATGTGCCAAGCCTACAGTGACCTCTAGGTCATACCGCCGAGAGATGTTGCAGGTGTCGAATGAAGGGCAGACCGTGTTTGGGAGAGGCAAGTCATCCCACAGTCGAGAGGGCAGTTTCCATTCCTTACGACCTTTGTCGATAGGGTTTCCTAGAGGCATGTTCATGTTCGCCTGTGACATCAAGAGCCATTTTGTGGTTTCAGTTCTCTCCAAATCGACAGCTCTGACCTGAGTGTACCCTGTTAGTTCAATCTGGAGCGTCCTGAGGTAGGCGGTTGCCGAGCTATCGTTGAGCTTCTCAACCAATATTCGCAGCGGCAGAGGTTCGTTGCATGTGATGATAGCGGGACTAGGAAGACGGGCATCGACTTGAAAAGCGGGAGGCTCCTCCTCGGCGGATGTTGGAGTTGAGGACTTTCTGCCAAAAAGGCTGGACATTCTTTTCTGCGACTCGGCCGGGTATCTCTGGAATTGTCTCTTCCGCCTTGCAAACGTTTCCTCATGACGATTGAGAGGTCGAGGAGGTTCGATGGGCAAAAATCTGATATCGGCAATCTTTGTCATACATTAGATGTCTCGTCAGACGAGCCATGCCGAGGGAAGCATACCGCTCTGATGTTCTCTTGGAAGAACTTGGGTCGGACGATTGTTGCCTTGACGTAGTATTTTATCTCGGCCTCGCCAGGAAAGCCACTCAGCGACGGAGGCAGGGTCTTCTTCACATGTTTTGTGATGTCTGGGGCGAATTGGACATTCACATGACCAAGTTTGATATCTTTCAGCGCACTCGGATTCTTTTGACAGTCATTGTTGAATGGAAACTGTCGCAGCCATTTAGCCGCCGTCACCGTCCGGGCCCGAACGCAGAAATTGGAAGGGTCTGACCTTGAACTTGAACGGGTACAGATATTGCCCGGCGAGGAGGGTATACGCGGAGGCGCTACTTCTTTCTTGGAGCTCGGGCGTTGGAAAGACGGTGAGGACTTTGTACAAGAGCTGAAGCCTGGAGTGTGAGCACAAGCTGCGATAGACAGGGGCGACTCTTCTCACCAACCTTGTGCAATTCTAGCTCCGTCCTCTTCTTATCCGAACGCTCATTGTTGGGGAACTTGGGACCGGCGAGCCGAGTTCGACTCTCGCCCTCGAGCTTGACCGTGACTGCAGAGATGGTGGCATCGTTGGGAAGGATGAGGATAACGTTGCCCGAGACGAAATCGAGATTTGTGTAGCACCTCTGTTCGGGTTGATCAAACTGAATACGGACCGACATGGATCCAGCGTAGAACAGGCATTAGGGCATCGAGGTATCAATCGATGGACCAAGTTGTGCCGGGTGGTAAGAGGTGACCGTGACTTGATCCTGGTTGTGTTGCGTGAGGAGCCTTGGTGGCGGGTGGTGGAGATGGGAAGCGCCTTGCGAGGCTGAGCAGCTGAGCAGCCAAGCGGCACTCACCATGGCAGCCAAGATGGTCGAGGCACCAGAGGCCCCAGAGGCCCCATAGGCACAGCCAGTCCCACTGTTGACTTCCTCAGGCTTGGGGGCGCACGTCGTCACTGGCAGTTCCCGCGAGCAGTCCCTGTCGAATCATGGCGAGTGGCGGCGACCCGGTGGAGGGGCCACCAGGGCGAGCGGAGAAGCAGTATTTCTTGGGACTGGCCTTCCCATTTGTCCCTGTGCAGCTGGCATGTGCCTTCATATTTCACGCTTTATGCAGACCTCGAAAAACAAGCTGACTGGTTTTGAAGAATTCTCCCAATGTAACTGACCATCCTCCTCCTGGTCTCCGGTTGCCCTGCACCGAGACCACGACATGTAATTACCGTCTCGGATGAAACCAGCTCAGACAGCGCGCAGCAAGGCAACAACCAAGGCTCGTGAACCTGTCAAGCACACCAAGACATTCTCTGGCTGCTGGACCTGCCGCGAAAGACACGTCAAATGCGACGAAGCCAGACCCCACTGTGCGCGATGTCTCAAGGGCGGATTCCAATGTCAGGGATACGGCATCAAGCTCGTCTGGGTCGATCCAGACAGCCAGGAACGCGAGCAGAACATCAGGCGGGTCATCGGCACGCCAACAGTCTATGACGACGGGTCAAATTTTGTGAGGGTCGACGTCCATGAGGCGTTGGAGGAGATAGAAAGACTTTCGCCGCAAGCAGGATGCCTTTCGTCGGGTCCATTCTCGGTCTTTTCCCTCCAAAGGTCTAGAACGGGCAGTTTCGAAGGATTTCACGGGATAGAACCTCTGGCGCTTCCAAACCGCGAAAGAAGAGACTCGGCGTCGTCGCCAACAGATCAGACAGGAGAGGTATCAGATGAAAATGCCGACGATCTGATAGAAACTGTCATCTCACCATTCACAAGCTATCCTCGAACGCCGTCATCGTACACTCCTCCCGACACCCCCCCGCTGTGGCCATCGACATCGAGCCCTGCTCCTCTGCCGCTCATAATACGCCACCTGGACCTCCTCCCTCGGCCCGCCGAACAAAGAGCCCTGATTCACCACTGGACGGACTTCGTCTGCTGGCACCTCGTCCCCGTGGACCGGCCGGACAACCCCTTCCGAAGCGTCTTCACGCCCATGGCCCTCGCGGGTCTCGCGTCCCCGTCAAACCAGTCAAACGGACAGATTGCACTTTTTCACGCCCTGTGCGCCACATCGGCATTCAGCCGTGGTCAGCTCCTCAACGGAGACAACAGGAACCTCACCTTGGCGATGAAACATTACAATCTAGCCATCATGCACCTGCGCCACAGCCTTGCGAATCTCAGGGACAGAGATGACAACAACCACCTTGGAGGTGGTCAAGAAGTACATCTTCAACGAGGCTCCATCCTCGCAACCATTACCATGTTCTCGGCAATGGACATGATCACCGGCCGCTCCAGCGAATGGCGCACGCATCTGCAGGGCGGTGCCTCGTGGCTGTCGACCATTGAAGAAAGCGAGTGGGACCGCGACAAGTCCTCCTCGATGGTCTACCAAGGCTACCTTGCCATCGCGGCGCTATGCAATATTAACCTGCCCTCCACCATTGACGTCGAATCCGAGAACTTCCTGGGTGATGCGAGACACTATGTTCTCGACCGGTTCTTCGGTCTCACCCGTCCGATCTTGAAACACATTGTCGTTATGAACAGCCTGATCAAGCGCATCTCTAATACCACGGCTTCCGACCCGCCGACAGCCGAGACGTTGGATGATCTGGAAACCCAACTGTACTCCCAGACACCGTCGAATCTAGACCTCACGGGCCTCCCACCTCTTGCTCAATCCTTAACGTTGCACCACGCCTACGTCTTCTACTATGCCTCGCTAATCTACTTCCTCCGCACCGTCCGGCGCCTCCCCCCGGATGTCCTCTGCATCCAACACATGGTTTCAAAAGCCGTCACGCACCTCGAAGATATCGAAAGCCTGGGCGGCGACAGTATAGGCTGTACATTAGTCTGGCCGCCATTCATTGTTGCGTGCGAATGCTTAAGTGGGGAGCTGCAGGAGAAGATGCTTGAGTGGTATAGGCTGAAGAGGAGGCACGGATTCATGAATCTGGAGCTTTCAAAGGATATTGCGAGAGAGCTGTGGCGAAGACGGCAGCTTGCGGAGGAGGGCGGCAAGACGGATGCTGATATACAGTGGCAGGATGTTTTGAGGGAGATGAAAATGGATATAGTCCTTGCTTGATTGTTTATTTTAAGAAAAGCAAAGTGAATGGAGGAGCCGCGACATATTGAAATTGAGGGTTCGGCTCAACAAGCAAAAGGGTTTTCGGAATTGAAGTCACCGTCCGAGTTGAGCCGATATGAAGGATCGGATGACGAGGGTTGTCTGAATCGCGCGTCAAGCCGCTGAAGCAGCACATTTATCGAATCCGCAAGGACTCTGTCCACGAACTCTTGCTCTCCAGACGTAGTGCTCGCGGGTCCGAACATTCTTTGGTTGATCTCCGAGGCTAGCAGTTCTCGACCTTCACGCACAAAAAAGGCAATAAAGTCTTGCACTGTATCCGCATGCACACTGTCAACGTACGGATCCAATGGCAACGTCGAGTTCGGAAACAGGATCTTATAGATGTCAAACCACGCGTCTGAGCGACTTCGACCCATTTCCCGCCTTTTGATCGCCATCAGTTGATCCTGAGTCATCTTCTCTTCGAACGGGCAGAGCTGTTGTTGGCAAGATCTCTCCACAATATGGGCATCTAAGACCACTTTTGAGTCTAACGAGGAGAAGCAGATTGGGCAGTGATGCTCAGGCCGACGATGGACGCGATATAAATGCTGTTTCAGGCGAGCAATGTCTTTGAGAAAGCAACTCGAACATCCACGATAATTCTTTTCAAGCTCATTGCGTTCAGAATACCGGCAAGGGTCAAATTTTGAATATGGGCAAGCCAGGAGTCTCGACGCAGTACACGTCGGCCAACCGTCAGATGTCCTTGGGATTTTGCTGCGCCTCGACCCTTCTTCGTCATCCGGGGGCGGCCTCTTCCGCGGAGGATTGTGAGCTGATGAACCAGGCGTTGTGATAGAGCTCGAATTTGCAGTTCCGTGTGTATGGCTAGATATGCTCGACGTGGGACTTGTCTGCGAAGAGCTCTCGGCACCATCTATGAGCGCATCTGTTTGGCCGAGATAAAGTTCAACGAGCATTTTCGCAAGTGCATCAAGAGACACCGCTGTGGTTGGTGAATCGCTGAAAGTTGCCCAAACAGAAGAATCATCTCCCGCTACAAATGAGGCTTCTCCATCCGATTCGAACCATAGCGAATTCGAGGAGTTCGAATAGGATGTTGAGAAAGACGAAGGCCATGGAGTTGCAGTGTCAGTGATGGATTGTTGCGTATTAGCGGCTGCCACATCTGCTTTGTACACAGAGGCCGCATTCTCATCCTTGTCCTCGACCTTTACAAGCCACTGGTCGACTCTTTCGGCCATATGACTCGTTAGCCGATCTCTGCCGAAACTTCCACGCCAAACTTTACTTACGGCATCGTTGGCAGGAGATCTTCGGCGGTATACATTGCTTTGCGTGATAGGCTCCAATCCGGCTCTTGCCTGGGCTTGGAACTTGTAGGTTGTGGAATGGATGCATCCGTATCGACGGGGAATATTTTCATTGATTGTTGGATGTCATTGTCCTCGAGATCTCCGACATCGATACCGGAGTCGCAAACGCTGTAATATCCAGAGGAAATCGACAGAGTTGAAGGGATCTCAGCAGATCCTGAGCCATCCTCATAGAAGTAGAAGTTGAAATTGTCATTAAATTCAAAACCTTCCCTTATTTCAGAAGACTCTAATTCGAAATCGAAAATGTCGAAATCCAAGTCGTTCATGATCCTCATTACAGACTCAATGTGCCTGCTGGTTGTGTGATTCTCGTTCCGTGCTTGGGTATTTACCAGCTAGGAAGACACTGATGGGAAGAGCAGATCTGGGCTGTCAATGATGATATTCGAGAATGATCCCCGTTTGGTGCAGCCTGACCTCTCCGACATGCTCACAATTGAACAACACACCGCTGTGCGTACTTACCGCGCCATCCTTCCGAAGCTGTGCATGGCGGCTGTGCTAACAGCCAATTGCGCGGCATCCTTCACATGAAAGGGAGACAGCAGGTCAGGAGGGAGTTCCAGCGAAGCGAGGTGATCGCGAATACGACATCAGAGAACCAAGCTAATGTGGCTGTCGTGGTCATGGTTTGGGATTGGATTGATGAGGAGATAGGGTGCTGAAGTCAATCACGAAGGACAATCATTTGTCTGACTGGACATGGTAGTACAGATTGCGCAGACTAGTATGAAGAGAATCTGTCAGACAGAAATATATTTCGGCGCCCTTCCTTTGCTCACCATTGTCAACAGGCATCCAGCTTGATACAATATCGTAAAGAGGTGAGAGAAGTGAGGCGCAGGGTTCACTCTCCCCCGTCAATATTCCCTTCTGTCGAGGAACCTTCAGCTCCCTTGTCATTCTACGCAAGAAGGTGAAATCCAAAGCGCGAACACAGTGCCACAATGATACACGTGGCAGCATTGCCAGCGGGCCATTCTTACCATTCTCTTCTTAGATTCCTCTTTCAATAGAACAGATTTCCTCCTTTCGTGTTTGCGCAACATGTATCATCTTGTCCGCTCCCTGTACCTCTATGCAACTAGCAAGCCAGGTAAGCCTCGCAAGACCACAGCTGCATCTGCACCGTGTCAACATGGCTGACCTCGCCTGCTTGCAATCAGAGTATTCCATCATCCTCCTTGGACTGGACAACGCCGGCAAAACCACTCTTCTCTCACAAATAAAAGCGCTTTACAACACTACTGCAGAGCCGGTAGCTGGCCAGACCGGAGATGCCCCCGCTTCGGACACCGCGGGCAACACTGTGCCCACCGTAGGCCAAAACGTTGCAACTATCGACCTGCCCGAGATGTATTTGAAGATCTGGGATGTGGGCGGACAAATGAGTCTAAGAAAATTATGGACGAGCTACTATAAAAGTGCGCATGCCGTGGTGTTCGTGGTGGATAGCACGGACCTTGGGAATGGAGATATCGAAGATGCGCCGAAGACGCCTGGGTGGCATGGGCGCAAGAAAAGCTATGTCGGGAAGGCTGGCGATGAAGACGAGCCACAGACACCGTGGACTCCGATGACACCTATGACACCAGGATTCTTCTCGTCGGGACTGCCCCAGGGTCGATTAGATGAATGTCGAGCTGTTTTAGAAAGCGTGCTCGAAAATGACGACACTGCCGGGATTCCGATATTGATTCTGGCCAATAAACAGGACAGGGAAGATTGTCTCGAAGTTGTCAGGATCAAGGAAGGCTTTGTGAAGAAAGTGTTCGAAGGCGAGAAGGGTGGAATGGTTCGAGATAGCCGCGTCTTGCCTGTGAGCGCGCTGAAAGGGACAGGAGTAAAAGAGGCCGTGGAATGGGTCAAAAGCCGGGTCATGTGGAATAAGGAAAGCCGTCCACCGATCATGAGGTGAAAAGCGCCAGTCCGCTGAGGATGACGATCCACGACAAGACAAGCGCCATCTATTGCGACTATCTTTCAGCTACAGACTGACACGGGCCCAAAGTAGACGAGACCAACTACTCGCTCTTTCCACAGTGCCTATCGATACATCAAGCCTATCAAGCCTCAAGCGCCTCAATCTTGAGCAGTGCGGCCGCAGTGTCCCTCGCAGTCACATCTAACGGTGTCCACTTGAACTGGAACACTTCATCTACGTCTTTTGTGTCGAGCCTCGGCAGTGTTAAGCTCAATGCCTCATCATTATCCTCGCCAATTCGATCCGAGATTTGTAATGCGGACTCCTTCCGCAACGCATCGGCAATCTGATTGAAGATCATAGGATGTCCGACGACAAACCGCCTATTCGCTGCATCGGGGTTGGTGAGCGCGAGGATTTGGACTTTCGCAAGATCTCGGACATCAATCTATGCGCAGAGCCTAGATCAGCGCTGTCGCTCCAAAGGTGCCGCTTCACTGGCAGCTGGGGGAAAGAAGAAGTGCGCTCACCCATCCTGGAAACGCCGTCATTGGCACCTTTGCACTTTCACTCTTCTTGCTGTTCATTATGGCATGAATTAGGCTATTGCTGAAATTGATTTTCTCTACGCCAGCCACTTTCTGCAACATGGGACCAAAAATCAAGGGCGGCATAAAGTTCGTCACGGTGAAGGATGGTTTCTCTTCTTCCACGAACTTCCACAGGGCTTGTTCGGCGAGCTTCTTGCCAACGCAGTACGAGATCTAGAACGAAACGAAGTAGTGGCGTTAGAAGGTCCCTCAAGAACTAGCGGTGTTCACCTGTTCAGTATAACACTGTACCGAGGACATCCTCGTTTAGAATAGAGGGAAACCTCTCACGTTCGAAGCCAAAACAAAGAGGAAGAGTTTACTCACGTAATTACTCTCCGCCTTGACAGCGTCCTCCCTCCCCAAAGGCAACCACTCCCCGCTCCCAAAAATTCTGTTCTTGATATCCTCCTGGTCGCCGAGCGTGATGGCATTCAGACTCCCGGTAACACTCATGGCCTTCACATTCTTGCCGTACGTCTTGGCGCTGCGGAGCAGACCCAGATTTCCCAACACGTTGGGCTTCTCAAAGGACTCTTCGAAGCTGACGCTGTCGGGGATATCGACCATGGGGGCCGCGACGTGCACAATGTACTCGATCTCCGGGTGTGATTGGAAGATGGCGTCGAAGGCTCCCGGGGCGGTGAAGTCGGGGACCGGCTCGATGGTGATCCTAGATGAGGAGGTGGGCCAGGACGGGTTATTATCAAGCAGAGACTTTGCTGAGGATGGGGAACGGACGGCGAGGACGACACTGTGGTCTTGGGCCAGGAGCTCGTCGAGGACTGTGGCGCCCAGGAATCCATTGCTTCCAGTTAACAACGTCGTGGGAGACATGCTGACGGACAGTTGGGACTTCGAGAACTCAGAAAGACCGCGAAAACTTAAGAGTTCAGGCAAGGGGAGTTGTGAGATGTGGAAGAAATGGGTGGGAGATAGAACGTTGAGATAGACTGGTTCAATTCGAACTTGTGGCACATATTTATACTGCTGGCTTGCTTCAACCATCCGGGCCATGCATTACTCTGATGCCCTGTCGTGCGACGCCGCGCCCCAACATTTCTCAGCACACAATACCTATCAGAGCTCATTTCAAACATCTTGTAAACGAGGCGGGCTCAAGACCAAAAGACAGCACCACTAGAATTGCAGGCCTGATGTGCTTCATGGGAGTTTTTTCAAGTATCTGCCATCTGAGGCCAAGGATAGCCAATGCCAACCCATCGTGCTTTGTCAGCCTGCTTGGGAGTTCTCATTGGACCATTTCTCAATTGGGCAGGACGAAGTTGCCGTATTAGGACAGGAACAAAGAAATAAATGTATTTCCCGAGAGATCATCTTTTGTGGTTTGCAGCATTTCTCACACGAGAGTTTGGATTACATAGGATTGGACCCTGTGCGGAAGCTTCTGTCATATCCACCGTTCCTGGTGCTTATCAAAGCCGATGGATTGCAAATCGATATTCATCTGGTTGAGCATCATCTCCATGGTAAAGTACTACAGTAAAATGCAAAATTAGTGCGCAAAAGAGGAGATGGTCACCAACCTCTGACTTACGTTCTCTTCGGGCTCAGCGTCCTCCTCATAATTCATAAGCTCTGTCTGATCAGTTTCTTCCGTCTCTCTTTGACTCTGGTCGTCCTTCAGATTGCCTGCATATCTGCCAATGAGGGCCTCCCTCTCACGCTCACCTTTCCATAGTCGTGAGTCCTCTTCCAATTGTCGACGCCATTGGGCAACGCCTCCCATCCTGTCAATTCGCTCTTTGGCAGCAGCGAAGAGCTCTTCGGCAGCATCTTGAGCAACAGTTCGCCACCGGGCAATCAGAGTACGCAATTCATCATCTTGCTTTGATCCTTCGATCTGAAGAGCTTCCTCTGCTATTTCAAGAGACTGGCGCAGTTGGCTGAGGCGAATGGACAATGCAGTGTGCTGCTTTTGGAGATCTCTCGACTCGGGGTCGGCAGCTGTTAGTCGGGAAGAAGAACGTAATTCGGAGGCGCTTGGAAGAGATAATCGAACAATGTCTGGTTTGATGTCTGGTGACGACTGGTGAGGGCTGGAGGAAAGCCCCGCAGCCGGAAGGTGAATATGAGCTGGTTCAGCAGATGGCTGAGGTTGAGGGTTAGCTGAGCGAAGCGGTGAACGAAAAGGCTTGTTTCGGAACCCGCAATGTTGATGCAGCTTTCTTCTCTTCTCCAGGGGCATTTCGTTTTTTCATGTGGAGAGACAAGAAAAAAGGCGCGTCAGTATTACTGTTGAATTGCCATCATCAATGCCCTGACCAATATGAAATTCTGTGGACGGAATGCGCGGAGATGGGGAGGAGTGGGCATTTGATGACCCAACAGGCAGCTGCTCGGCGACGATGTGGGAATCAGTAGTTGATTTCTCGACTATTAACGGTGGCCAGCCTGAGATGCCCGAAGGTGTTGGTGCCGCGACAAGGATTTTCTGTGGATTTCTCTTTACGGGCGATTGACAAAGGGAGCCAAAGGTGACGGACAGAGGAGGGTGGTCTTGGGGTGGTGCATCACGAGAGGGAGGCAAAAGCTAAAGTGGCCACAGAGTGGCAGAGAACCAAGAGTGGATTGACTGCGCAAGCGATAGAAGCCGCGCTACCAAATGCGGTTAGTGCCGCTGGGCGTCTTCCTCCTGACTAAAAATGCAGGCGGCCGGCGGGGCGCTGCACCGATAGAGAATTACGGTTTGTCTGACAGAAGGGATTGCGTGCTCTAAGCTTGCTCTAGG